TAACCTGCCACAGTAGCAGCTGGTTTAAAACACAGAACAGGAGGGACGGTGTTAGCTTTTGTTCTGGTCTTGGGTCCCCAGCCTTCCTAGGTGCTGTGAGGACAGAGGGAGTGGGAGCTGGTGCTTCCCTCCCTCCCCCGGGCAGGTGCTGGGGTGGGGGTCAGGAAGGGTCCCAGTGGGAACTATTGAACCTGCTCCTGAAGGCAGACATGCAGATCTTCCGTCCTCCCCCATGACCCTCCCAGCCGGCAGGTACTTCTCTGGTCGCTCTGAAGAGGCCTGAAGTTGACCGGAGCTGGGCTGGGGTTCGGACACTTGGGGTCCAGGCCAGTCCTGCCGCCCGCTTGCCCTGAGCTTGGGCACCTCTGTTGCCTTCTGCGCTCCTTTCCGTGGCTGAGCGCGTGGCGGGGTCCCTCCCCCTCCAGTAGCGTGAGGTTGGGCCGGGCTTGTATGTTTAGAAGAGCAGTCTGCACCGTCTAGGCAGAGAACCGCAGGCCACCTGTCCGTGTTGGTGGTTATGCCCCCTCATGTGAGTTGAATAAACTGAGGGCATCAGACTTGAGGTGGACAGACCCTCCCCCCCCCCCCGGGAATGTGGGCAAGGCCCCAGTCTCCCTGGCTGCACTTTTCTCTGATCCTCAGTCTGGCACAGGTGGCCTTTCCTCCTGGATACGCTGAGTAACGGGGCCTGAGGCCCTGCTGAGCCCTGGGAGTGGAATCCGTGTGCTTGTAAACATGCGTGGGTCCCGTGTGTTCACTGTTGTCCATGGCGGCCAATGTTAAAAATGGCTTTCAGACAAGACCCTGGAATTTTTGGTCCCTGTTTCTGTGTGGCAGCCAGTGCTTCTGGGGTGGGGCCGGGCTCCTCCTCTGACCCTGACCCTGTCGTGCCAGTCACTTCACAGTGACCCCATCGTCCAGCCCGTAGGGGCTGAAGGTGACAGCCCTCAACCTGTTTCAGAAGTTTTTGGAGTGTGTGTGCAGCAGTGCTGAGCAAGGAGACACACAAGCCTCGTGTCCCCAGGGGTTCCTTCAATTGAAATAAGTGTCACCACTCATCCCCCGGGTGGTGGTCTGGCTGCTGCCTGCAGTGTTAGCTCCTCAAGGCCTGCCCCTTCCTTCTTCTCTGAGGCCAGTTGGTGGCATTTCGGCCCATGAGGGGGTTGACCAAGTTCAGCACTGCCACATGCCCCCCTTGACGGGCTCCCATTCCTCCCCCCCGTCTGCATTCTGCCCTGGGTGCCCCTGCAGCAGGCCTCTCATCTCGGGAACCAGGAGGTGTCCTGAAGGGAGGTACAGACTGTTTCCCCCCCCCCCCAGTCGAGGACGGCCTTGCGTCAGGGGAGGAATGGGAGCCCGTCAAGGGTTTGGCAACTTCTGTGCTCCTCCGGGTTTCCGCTGCGTGTCTGCCTCCTCCTGGCACGGGGCAGGGTGATGCTGGGCTGGCCACGTGGCAGTAAACGTACTCTCAGGACAGGGCTGCCTTTGTCCAGGGCGGGCATCTGCACTCATGAGCGTGTCCCAGCGCTGCGCTGAGCAGAGGGGGTTCAGGCCCTTCTCCTGGCACATGAGAAGGCAGCTGCTCCGTGTTCTGTGCTGGCTCACTGAGAAAATGTTTGTGGGGATGGCAGGTGGAAGGCTGGTGCCCCGGCTGGGAGGCAAGACCGTGCCAGCTAACGGGCTGCAGATGCAGAGAGCGGTCCCCAGAGTGGGACGCGGGCACTCGTTACTGAGCCCAGGGCTCAGAGTGAGCTGTGGGTTACGTGGGCCCTTAGCATCACGTGATCACAGAACAGAGGTGGCCCCGAGGCCTGGGCCTCCTATCTCCCCTCCCCCGGAGGAATTCCTGAGCCTGGGCTTCTCCTCCTGGCTGGTGAGGCCCCTCCTCCCTCCCAGCTGTTGTGTAACTCTGGAGGCCCCAGAGGGACTTTGGTATGTATGTTGCTCAGCAGGTTGAGTTCTGCACTGGGCAGTGTCTCTAGATTGTAGGGATGGCCTGTGAGGGCTGCGCTTGATGGGGTCAGCCCTCAGGGTGAGCTGGGAGGGAAGGGGTGAGCTTGTAGGACACGCCCTGAGGAGGCCGCTTCAGGGTGCCACCAGGAGAGCCGCGATGTAACCCCGTTCCTCCTGCCCTGTTCCCCGTGTCTGCAGACACTCTGCCTCTGTGAGCTCCCTGCCATCGCCTGGGATGGCTCTTTGTGTGTCCATCCTTAGGGGGCGTGAGGCTGGTCCACTGCTGCCTTGCGACCCTGGAGGACTCCTGTGGCCCCTCCCTGCTGGGCCCTGGGAGACTCTGGGGCTCCTCTGAGGGTGGTTGGGGTGGGGCTGCCGTGCTGTCAGGGAATCCTGGATGTTCAGAAGGAGCTGTTTTTCCACAACCAGTGGAACCCTGAGGCAGCGTCTCCCAGGTGCTCTGTCACCTGCCCTGGCGTGCCTGAAGGTGCAGAGTCCTGGGCCCTGCCCCAGACCTTCAGACGGCTGTGTGGGGCAGGGCCCCAGCTCGAGTTTCTTTGAGAAGCACCGCCTCCGCCTCCGGGTTTCAGAAGCCACAGGGGTCCAGTATGTAGAAGGAAGGCTCATTGTGCTTGACACTGGTGTCTAAGACGGCTGCCATTGCCAGGGATCCGGGGACACAAGGTACGGGAAGTTCCCATCGCTCCTGGAGGCGACATCTTTCAGAACGGGAGGGCCAAGTACGTGGGGCTCCTGAGCCCCTGGGGTTTGGGAGGGTGGGGTCCCCACTCCTGGGGACCTTGGGCTTAGTTAGGCTCTTGGCTGTTAAGGGGCACTTAGCCCGTGAGACGGCTCCCATCCAGGGAGCCATGCACCTAGGGGAGGGAGAGTGGACTTGAGGGAGTCCTAGGGCTGGAATGGGGTCTGGGGGGTAAGGGGGGTGTGCCGCTCCCTCCCTGCCTGCTGAAGGAGCCAAGCTCCTCCCAGCTATTTCTGCAAGCTGCCCAGAGGAGGTTGGAAAAGTGAATGCGAGGGTCTCTTTGGCGGGAGCCGCGAAGCCTGTGCTCTGTGTGCAGCTCTTTTCCCGGGGGGCCAGGAGCGGGGGCCGAGCTCGAGCTCCCCTGCCTGGCTGATTGTTTCATTTGGTCCCTTGAGAATGTTGGGGGGCTGTCCCAGGACCTTGCAACTCCTGGGGCCACTGTTGTCCCCCATTGTCCCCTCCCTTTGAAACTCTGGAATTCTCACAGCTGTCTGTCGCCCCCACCCTGCCGCTCCTTGTAGCCCCAGAACAGACCACCAGCGCCAGCTTCTTGGGGGATTTTGCTGTTACCCCCCGGTTTCTCTGAGTCACAGAAATAAACACAGGAGGGCTTAGAAGGTAGAAGCCACCCTGCTTGTCCCACACAGTTCCCTCTGCTGAGCCCCAGGCCGGGGCGGGGGTAGCTTGGTGTGAGGTCTCACTCTGCTTCAGGGTCCCGGGGTCGGGGGGGCGGGGGGGGGCGGTCTCTGCAGTCACCTGGCTTTCCTGGGCCTCATCATGGGAGGAGTGAGGAAGCTTCCCGCTTGGGTGGTCTCTGAGCAGCATGCCGGCCCAAGCGCAGGGGACCGAGTGCCAGGAATCTGGGCAGCTTTTTCTCGGGGTCCCTGGATCCCCCAGACTGGTCCCAGATCTTGGGAAGTTTCCGTGCCCACTGCTTGGGGATTAGAGGGGATTTCTCCCCAAATCCGGACCCGCTATGGTCACCCTCCCTGAACAGGCCGTGCAGTAAGGAGCATGGGAGTTGTCCCAATGTCTTTGAGCCCAGCGCCTCTGCGCCAGGGAGCCCCCAGCCACCCTAGCCTCGGCGAGCGGCGGGTGCTCCCTGATTTTCACCCTGTCTGCTCAACGTGGGCGCCCTTCTTCACCTGACACGATTCTTCATGGCAGCTCCCTTTCTGACTTGCTTAAAAAGGAACTTTATATCAGCGCCTTAAAGAGGAAACCAGGGGCGTTGGGCACAGAGAGACACGGTAACAAAATGCAGCAGCAGAGTAGCTTTGTATTCTGATCAGTAGGCATGTTTATCTGCCTCCCGCTGTTAGAAAGGCCATTAGTGGGGGTCAGGAAGGGGCCACTCGCCTCTGCACCAAACAGAGGCCCCTGGACTGTTGGGAAGTTCTCCCCGCGTGAGGGACATGGAGCTGGGTGGGCCCCGCCTGAGCTGCTCCTTGAAGGCCCGTTGGCTGGGATGCTGCACCTGGAATGAGTCAGGTCCACCTACAGCCCATGCTTCACTTAGGGGAACCTCTGGGGGTGCCGGGGTCCCTAGGCTCAAGATCTGGGCCTCTGTCTATCTCCTGTGGTGCCTCCCCGTTGCCTTGTCACACCCCCTCGAGGGCTCATGCTTCACTGTCAGCTTTACCTGCAAACCCCATCTGCTGCGTCCCCCAGTCTTGTGTGGCGTCCCCCCAGAGGCCGATGGGACAGTGCTCCCAGGCTGTGGTTCGTGCCCCAGCCACCCGTCGCCGACCACCTGTGCTGTGGCCAGGCGTGTGCCTGGCCTCCTGGGAGGAGGAATCGTGTGTCCCAGCGGGGTCTCTTCCTGCCCACACCCTCTGGGCACCAAGGGGCCGGGCGGCACTGCAGTAGCTCCGACTGGGTCTCAGCATGTGGACACACCTGGGCGCTGTGACACCAGCCACCAGAGCAGGCTGTCCCTGAGACTTCTCCCAGGAGGGATGTGTGCCCGACCCAGCAGCCACGGCCGCCTGCTGTGAGCACTTGAAATGAGTCTGGTGTGCCCCAGAAACTGGATCTTAAATTGTATTTAGTTTTAGTTAATTGACATTTAAGGGACCCACGTGGCTGGTGGCTACCTGTGAGGCTGCACAGCCCTGAGCCCCCCGAGGTGTGACAGCCTGGTCGGCTGTCCTGGCATCTGGGTTGTGAGCTGCAGGGCGGGCGGGCCCCCCTCTTCCCCTCTGTGGGTGTTGAGTCCTAATTGAAGAGAAACGGGAGATGCCCTAGCGGTTGAGTTTTGGGGGAGGAGGGGAGGGGTCCTGGCTGTCGGCTGAGCTGCCCTGACTCTTGGCTCTTCTTCCAGGGGCAGTGTCACCTCCAGTCCCCTCCAGGGCTGCGTGGGGGCCTGGGCGGCATGGCGCCCTCCGGCCAGGTGGCGGAGAAGCAGGTGCCCCCGGAGCCCGAGCGGGGCCGCGAGCTCAAGTCCTGGCGGTGCCTGGTGTTCTACCTCTGTTTCTACGGCTTCATGGCGCAGATGCGGCCTGGGGAGAGCTTCATCACGCCCTACCTCCTGAGCCCCGACAAGAACTTCACGCGGAAGCAGGCACGTGGGTGTGGGCGTGGGCGGAGGAGGGTGTGAGTGGGCGCAGGAGTTAGGCGGCCACGTGGTGTCGCGGTCCTGCCCCCCGCAGGCCCTTCACCCTGAGGGGCCTGGCTCCCACCTGCTAACAGGCCAGTTAGAGTGACAGTGGCCCGCACAGGGGTCTATGTGTGTGGGTCTCTCAGGGAAGGGGGGGTGCCCTCTGCCACTCCCACCGCAGGCTGGGTGCACTGCTGAGAAAGCCCGAGTCCCCCCACTGGCACCTGCTTCCAGCAGAGACTTAGGGGCTGTTCGCCAAGAAATTACAGAAGGAATTTTCCTGTGCCTCAGCGACAAGGACACAGGATCTTGCTGAAACTTGACTAGTGAGCTTATGCCCACATGGGTCCTGGGTTGTCCCGGGTCATACGCAGGGTGGAAGCAGCAGCAGGCTGTGGCCCTGGTGCTCTCCCTCTCCGTAAGGTGAAACAACAGAACTCGAGGCTGTTGGTTGATGGAGTGCCAGGTCAGAGCTCCTGTCCCAGCTCTGGTCCCCACCGTGCTCATCCCCCCAGAGGACCCACACCGCTGCACCAGAACCTGTCCCAGCTGGCTGTGCCGTGTACCCCCGGGGCTTGCTCGCCCCCTGCCCCCTAGCCTTTGTGTGTCCCCTCCAGCGTGGCCGCCGGCCTCCGCACACCTCGTCGCCATCACTGGCCCCTGCTGGGTCCCACCGTGCCGCTTGATTTCTTCGGGAAGCCCCTGCCCCTCTCCCTGGCCCAGGGCTTGGCCCCTGCTCCTCGCAGACCCTAGAATCATTTAAGTCTGGAGGAGTCGCTGTGCCAGTGAGGTCTGACCCCTCAAAGGAGCCATCTTGGAAAAATGCCCATGACTGGCCCGCACAAGCTCAAAACCGTGCACATGTGTGGTGGTGTCCGACCCACAGCTGGTGCTGACCGCTGGAGCCGGTCACTCCTAGGTAAGGCCCGGGTGGGGGCTCTGCCCATCCGATGGGGCTGTGGCCTTCAGGGTTGTCTTCTGTGCCCCCCAGACTCCCAGGCCTCTTCTGAGTAAGGGGTCCCTCACTTCCCTGTATCACTGGTCGGCTGTATGGCTTTTCCTTAGAACACTGCTCTGTTAAGATTCCTTGTAGGAATAAGATGTATATGAAGCTCTGTTAAAATAAGTAAGAAAAATCTTTATAGCGACAAAGTCATAAATCCCATCTGCCTGCCCTCTCGGGTTACACGTTAACAGATAAAATATAGGAGTAGTTTCCAGAAGTCACGCCGTTCCACCAGGCCCTTGGATGTCATCAGAGGGTCGACAGAGGCAGGCCGGCTCTGCCCCTGCTGCACAGTGGGGCCCGACCCGCTGGTGCTGGGAACCGTGTCCTCACCAACTGTGTCTGGGAAGTGCACTGGGCCGTGCCCACAATGGCCTCTGCAGCCTCTTCTGCGGCTGGACTCAGAGAGTTACCCAGTGGGTTCAGGCTGGCCTTCCCTAACTCACACCCCAGGGATTAAAGCACAAAGTGTCACCATGCTTCAGTGGTACACTTTGTCACCACAGCAGGAAACGCGGCTGCTCCCTCCGCACGTGTAGCCGGCTTCCTGTTTCTCTCTGGCGACTCCTGAGCGCTCTGTTGTGTTTCTGCCCGGCTGATAGAGGCGAGGGTCTGGTGGAGGCGAGGGCCTGATGGAGGCGAGGGCTGATGGAGGCGAGGGCTGTCTTGCTGCTGGATTTGCGTTTCCTTGGTTTCTGCCCCGACCAGCCTCCCCCTTCCTCGCGGGGCTGTCCGACTTCTGTGCCTCGTGGGATTCCCGGTGCTTGCGGGGTCTGACGTGTGCCATATCTCTGCCATGTGCCTCCTCTCCTCACTGTGCCCATGGGGTCCTTCATGCTGGGGCTGTACGTTCAGTTCACCTGGATCCTCCTTTGAGGTGACGCTATGAGTGTGGCCTCCATGCCCTCCACTCTCCCTGGTTTATGAGGCGCCTCTGCGAGGGCATGAAGGTCTGCCTTGTACCTTTGGGTTGAGTCCTGCGGCCCCCGCCCGCCTCCTGATGGGCCCCAGCCAGGACCAGTCACCCTGGTCCTTCACCGAGGCTGACACTGCCTGTCCCCGTATCGCTGGTGGGATTGTCGGCCGTCCTCCTGTGTGACGGTCCCTGTCCTCCCATCAGGCGGGACTCAGTGCCCATCCGGGTGCTGCTCTTGGATTTTGGGTCACCTGTGGCCTGGCCCCTCCCTGCTCCCCTCGTCCACTGGTCCTCAGAACCCACCGTGCCCTGTCCTGGTGCCTGTCCCTTCTGCCAACCCCACAGCCCTGGCCCCCCACCCGCAGCTTGTCCTGGCTCCTGGGGGCCCCGACCAAGCCTCCCCCCTTCAGAAAAGCCACTGCCCTGGAGCTGCCTGGTCCCAGATCTGGGCACAGCTCCTGTGCTCTGCCCATCAGCCTGGACCCTGCCTGTCTAAACACTACGGTGCTGGGAACGCATCCAGGCGACACTTGGCTCAGGCCAATAGGAGGCCGTCCTTATGCCAGTGCCAGGCCACTTGACAGATGGCGCCTGCCCCAGGAACTTGGTGGGCATCCCCTATCCCCCAGCACCTTCCAAGTGTGACATGGGTTTGGGAGGGGGAAATAGAAGGAGAGGTCAGGAGAGGAGAGGGAGAGAGGGAGGAAAGGAGAGGAGAGGAGGAGGGGAAGGGGGAAGGAGGTGCATAGGAGAGGAGGAGGAGGTGGAGTGAAGGAGGGGGAGAGAGGGGAAAGGGGGGAGGAGAAGAGAGAGGGGAAAGACCAGCTGATCTCCCTGAGGTTCTGACCCCTCAGGCTTTGACAGGGAGCCCCCCCGCAGCTGAGCAAGCCATCTGCCAAGAAATCTCATTAACCAAGGGATTTTTAATGTTCTTGGAATTCTCCGTAAACACGGTCCAGACCCCTGTAGTCAGGCCTCCGTGGCTTTTCGTGACCAAGTGCAGATTCTTCAGCTTCCCCACTGGGGACTGACGTGTGCTAAAAATGTCCCAGAATGTCCTGGGGGACCTTCAGTGCTCAGTGTTTTGGGGACCACAGACTTTGGGGGCAGGCTTGGCTTCCAGCTGGTGTGTAGGTTCAGGAGGCCACCAGGCAGAGGAATTTCAGTCTGGGGCCTGGCTGTCTCAGCCTCCCAGCGGCTCGTAAGTGGTGGGCTCAGCATGGCCCCACGTGCTGACCCAGGGCTCAACTCTTGTAAAGTGGGGCCTTGGTGCCTGCACTGTGCGGATTGCACCGTGGTGTTAGCAGGTGGCCAGGCTCAAGTGAGGGTTAGCACCCTGTCAGGTGGGACCCAAGGGAGGCTGTAGCTTCTGAGAGCCCAGCAAGGCCCACGGCTCACCTGGTACCTGCCCTGGCTGATGTGAACCATGGTTCTGGCCCCTGAATGGGAGCTGGTGGGGTCAGGTGGAGCCCCTGCGTGCGGTCTGGTGTCCAGTGGAGTCCGGCAGGGCACCTGCAGAAAATCCACCTGGGCCTCAGGAGATGCTCCAAGCACAGGGCGCCTCCCATGTCTGTCCCCCAGGAAGGGTCAAGGCCAGAGACCTGGCCCTCTTACTGGGCTGGGGCCTCCTCCTATGGAGTGGCCCCAGGTGAGCCCAAGGCAGCCCCTCCCTGGGCAGCCAGGGGGACAGCTGGCTCTTGCCCTGAGTGGGTCTGCAGTGGTGCCCTCTGCCCTGTGTCCCCGGGAGGGCGCACCCTCGCTGTGCGCGGCTCCGCATTTGTGTGGAAAGGTGAATGCACCGAGGCCACAGGCAGCTCCCCTGGCGAAGGCCGGAGTCCTGGCTCCCATGGAACACATTCCCTAGTTCTGCCTGATGAGGTGAGAGGCCCTTGAGTGGGCTGGTGTGAGGAGCAGCTGCAGGGGCTTCCCTTCCAGCATCCCCTGCACCTGGAACCAAGTGAGACTGGCCACTAAAGAGTTTCCTCAGTGGAAAGGTGTGAGGAGAGCCCGGTCCTGTCTCCTCCTCTCTTTCTGTTCTCTCCTCCCACTTCCCTTCTTTTCTTTCTTGGTTCTTCCCTTTGTCAACCTTAAAAAACAAAAGAGTCAGTTATTTTATCAGCAGAATGAGCTTATTTAGGAATAGCAGAGGAATTACGATTTGGGGCTTCCTTTATAGAGGAAGGAGGAAGCTGGGAGGGGCTGTCCGGAGAGTTCAGCGAGGTGACGGCTTCTCACTGGCCGACTGGCGGTTTCTCGTTGGCTGGGCTGTTGCTGGGCCAGGAGGAACTCTCCCTTCCTCCTCCTGGGGTCTGTGAAGGAAGCCTCCTCCTGCTGGGGAATTCGAGGTTCAAGAGTGGCAGGGTGTGAGAGCCCCCCCTTCAGGGCTTCCTGACTCCATTTTAAACAAGGTTTCCTTTATTTATTTTCACATTTTCCCCTTTTGATCAAGATCTTTCCTCGAAAGCATCACTGATCAAGAGTCAGGTTTTTCGTATTTAGTGGTTTCGACCCTCGGTGCCAGGAAGGACATTTCCTGGTTGTTACGTCCTAGTCGGAGGGAGAGTGCAGATTGAAGACCTGGAAACCATTGAGGCCACATTTGCATAGCAAGGAAGGGTAGGAGGGAGAACTCTCCAGCATTTCCCATCCAGCTAAGTGTTGGAGGCCGTCTTGAAGCACTGAGCGAGCATCACCCTATGGGGCACGTTGTTTCTACCAAGGTTTGACAGGCAACAGGTATAAAGCTTAAAAATGATGATACAGAATAAGATGAGGAGCAGATATTCTGCGAGAAATCATCCTGGCCTGAAGGGGTCTTTTCTACATGCCTTCCAAAGAGGAGTTGGTCCATTTGTTTTTCCTTTAGATGCAGGGGAGCAGATTGTATTTAAATAGGGGAAAGAACATGGGGGAAGCAAAGGCTTCTGCCGGTTGGCGGAGGTGAAAGTGTTCAGTTGAGCTCATATGATTACAGTTGGAGAAAGGTTGAAACAAAGTACGGAACACCTGGCCGTAACCACCTGACCCCATAGGTAACACCCA